ACATGTATATATTTTTTTTATATATATATCCTTTAATATCTTTCATCCTTGGCTTTTTTTTTTTCTTGCTTTAGAATTCTAGAGTCTTTTTATCCCTCTCAGTTTTTTAATGTGTATAATGACTTTTCTTTACAGTTATAACAGTGGCACTTGTGTGGATGGAGACAACTGGTACCGCTGTGAGTGCGCTCCAGGCTTCGCAGGTCCTGACTGTAGGATCAGTAAGTGTTTCAGTGGCACTCCTCCACCTCCATTTTTGTCTTGCTTGAATCTTGTGCAAGATAATCACCTTAACTGAGTTAAGTGGGAGATCAGATTAATGATAGATGTCCTGTATCTTCTGTATGCACACCTAGGTCTGTAGCAGATGTGGGGAGGGCAGGAATTGCACTGAAAATGAAAGAAATCTGAAAGTCCATTCAGCTAGAGCAGAAACCTCTTGGTTCAGCTGAGTGGGCAAAATGCCCTTCAGGATAGTCTTCTCAGTTAGAATGTGTTTGTGTGGACTAAGTTTCTGCCCGTGCCAGCCAAAAACTTTGTCAATAAATAATCCTCCTACAAGCCCTGAGGTGATGTATGCACTTCCCTGTAATTTAATAATAATTACAGGTAGGAGGACACTAACTTTTTTTTTTATTTTTTAAAAAATAACAGCCATGGAAGTAGAAGTTTCATAGTAGAAATACAACTGGAAAGGGGTTTAACATTGTCAGCAGTTGAGGAATCTAGTAAGGGGGCCAAAACTGGAGGATGCTGAAGGAGAGGAAGTGTGTTTGTGTGAGAAGGAATGTGTCCTTGCCCTTGAAAAGCTTATGTAGCCATAGGGGTTGGGTTTTGATCTTGTAGTGCCACACAGCAGAAACTTCAAAGAACTTCCTCTGAGATGATGCTGGTGCTGATAATAAGAATCTATCTCTCAGCAGAGACTAGAAAATGAACATAAAGTTCCAGCAGGCAAATCTCTTGTATGTTTTTTCTGACAAAATAAAAGGATACTAGAGTAAATTTTTTATTATTTTATTTATTTCTTCTCCCTCCCATCACAGATATCAATGAATGCCAGTCTTCACCCTGTGCCTTTGGAGCTACGTGTGTAGATGAAATTAACGGGTACCGTTGCATTTGCCCACCAGGCCGCAGTGGTCCAGGATGCCAAGAAGGTATTCCAGATCATAGAATCATAGAATGGTTTGGATTGAAAGGGACCTTAAAGCTCATCCAGTCCCACCCCCCCTGCCATCAGCAGGGACACCTTCCACTAGACCAGGTTGCTCAAAGCCTCATCCAGCCTGGCCTTAAACACTTCCAGGGAGGAGCAGCCACAACTTCCTTGGGCAACCTGTTCCAGTGTCTGACCACCCTCACAGTGAAGAATTTCTTCCTAATATCTAATCTAAACCTCCCCTCTTTCAGTTTAAACCCATTTCCCCTTGTTCTGTCATTAACTGCCCTTATAAAAAGTCTTTCCCCAGCTTTCTTGTAGCCCCTTCAGGTACTGGAAGGCCGCTATAAGATCTCCCCAGAGCCTTCTCTTTTCCAGGCTGAACAGCCCCAATTCTTTCAGCCTGTCTTCATAGGAGAGGTGCTCCAGCCCTCAGATCATCATGATGATCAGCAGCTAGATGTCCTAGCTGCTCACAGCACTTGTAGCAAGATCTGTAAAATTGCATGTTGACATGTTTTTGGTTGTATGGGGGTTTTTTTTGGGAGGGGGGTTATTTGTTGTTGTTTTAAAGCAAGTATCTTCCTTGAAGAAGCCAACTTATCACTAAGTTTAGATGAACTTAAGAAAGGGTATTTTTTCACTTTTTTTTTTCCTATTTTAAGTTTATAATTCTTTAAATCTCCCTTCAGTTACAGGAAGGCCTTGCATTACCAGTGTTCGAGTAATGCCAGATGGGACGAAGTGGGATGATGACTGCAATACCTGTCAGTGTTTGAATGGGAAAGTCACCTGTTCTAAGGTACAGCTGTGCTGTCTTGTGGGTCATACCACCTTCTGTCCTGTAACCAGTCCTTACTTATCAGTATTTATTCTCTTCTAGGTTTGGTGTGGCCCTCGACCTTGCGTCATACACGCCAAAGGTCATAACGAATGCCCAGCTGGACATGCTTGTGTTCCTGTGAAAGACGACCACTGTTTCACTCACCCCTGTGCTGCAGTGGGTGAATGTTGGCCTTCGAATCAACAGCCTGTGAAGACCAAATGCAATTCTGATTCTTACTACCAAGACAACTGTGCCAACATCACCTTTACCTTTAATAAAGAAATGATGGCACCAGTAAGTAGCAGAACACAGCTCACCATGCTGCAGCACACACATTCTTGCTTCCCAGTGCATGAACTCATCTAGGTGTTCCTGCTCCGTCAGGGGGATTGGACTGGATGATCTTTCGAGGTCCCTTCCAATCCCCAACATTCTGTGATTCTGTGAAACAGCTTTTTGACTGGTGAAAGTACAGTAAAAGCTGATGCTCCCTTATTATCAAAGCAAAGAAAAGGTAGAGAAGAAATAATACAGACTTCTACCCTAAATTCTCTTGTGTCCAGAGAACAAAAGCTGGTTTGGAGAGAATTCCACCTTCTCTTCCCTTGAGAACTCTTATTTCAGGGACAGGAGGAAAAAAAAAAAAATGATCTGTGTGTTCATGTGCATATATATATATATTTTTAAAAAACCCCAACATCTTTTTTGTATCCTCCAGGGACTTACCACAGAGCACATTTGCAATGAATTGAGGAATCTGAATATTCTGAAGAATGTTTCTGTTGAATATTCCATCTATATTACCTGTGAGCCTTCACACTTGGCAAATAATGAAATACATGTTGCTATTGTAAGTATTCCTGGAATATTTTTAAATGTCTTAGTAGTTAATCGCTTGGATATGTGGGCAACATGTGGATTTCATAAAAATTGTAATTCCTGGCTTTGTCAGCACTTCCCGTGGTTTAGTTTCCATCCCAATTCCCTTTAAGAGGAGGGAAGCAATCCTGGTTACATGTGCGTACCTGAAAGCTACCATCTGGTGGCAACGGGAACAGGGTAGTAAAACACTGTTCTGTTAGACTCTCGTGAGCGCTGCTTTTGGGGGGGGTTTTTTATTTTGTCATCTTTTTAATGACGGGAACAAAAATTCTGCATTATTAGTTTCTTCCCATAGCTGGGCTTTTTGCTTGCTTCTCTTTTAGTTTTTGAGTATTAAAAATACCGAGAGCCTTTACCGATTGTGAAAGTTTTTATAAACATCAGATGACCCGCTCACCTGATTTGGCATTAATTGTCTGACTTCTCCTGTAGTCTGCAGAAGATATAGGGGAAGATGAAAACCCAATCAAAGACATCACAGATAAGATCATTGACCTTGTCAGTAAGCGCGATGGTAACAACACGCTAATTGCTGCAGTTGCAGAAGTCAGAGTGCAACGGCGACCAGTTAAAAACAAGACAGGTAAGCTCTCCCTTGTCTCCAAAAACTCCTACACTTGCCGTGACTGGAACAGCCTTTCAAAGCTGGTGAAGCTTTTCCTACTTGTGAGATTTGTAGCAAGTCTGGGAGTCTCTGCCTCTTGGCCCCGTGTCCTGGTTTTGCTAGGATGGAGTTAACAGGGAGCACCAAAGAGGCTTCACACCAAGGTCTTATTAATTAAAAAAAAAAAAAAAGTTTTAAAGTTCTGAAAATGCTCTAAATCAGTGGCCCAACCTGCTGAAAGGGCTGCTGCTCTTCAGCCCTCTTCCTGGAGAACTGAGGAAGAAGAAAGGTAGTGAAGTCACACTGCCTGGCTCTGAAAGCTCCCTGGTATCTACCTGGCGATACCACTGTCCAGGTACAATTAATTAAACATGAAGCTCAGACATGTCCATGAGCCGTCCACCTGGCACCAGGCATGGTCCGGTGTCTTACCGAGAGCCACCACAGGAGAGAGAGATGACGGCAGTGGGTATGGAGCCAAGTGCCCTCAGGGCAGGAGGTGTTCCCTCTGAGCACCCCAGTGAAGCCTGTGTTCCTCTGGTCTGTGAGGACCTGGCTCTGTGCATAAGAGGAAGCCATTTTGAGTCCTAAACTCACTTTAAACATCCTGTATTCTGAAAGAGCCAGGATTATCCTTCTAGACCCCACTGAAAAAATAAGGCTTAAAGAACTGAGATTTGTTTTCTTTGTAGAAAGCCTGGAGTGGAACACTTGGCTTGCAGCAGGGTTAACCGCTCTCCTGTCTCTTCCAGATTTCTTGGTGCCGTTACTGAGCTCAGTCCTAACAGTAGCCTGGATCTGTTGCCTGGTGACTGTTTTTTATTGGTGCATTCGAAAGCGCAGAAAGCAGAGCAGCCACACTCACACGGCGTCTGATGACAACACTACCAACAACGTAAGGGAGCAGCTGAATCAGATCAAAAACCCTATAGAGAAACACGGAGCAAATACAGTCCCAATTAAAGACTACGAAAACAAAAACTCCAAAATCGCCAAAATAAGGACACACAATTCAGAGGTGGAGGAGGACGACATGGACAAACACCAGCAGAAGGCCCGGTTTGCCAAGCAGCCAGCGTACACTTTGGTAGACAGAGATGAAAAGCCCCCCAACAGCACACCGACAAAACACCCAAACTGGACAAATAAACAAGACAACAGAGACTTGGAAAGCGCACAAAGCCTAAATCGGATGGAGTACATTGTATAGCAGACAGCGGGGTGCTGCCATGCAGGGCCTTTAAATAGCATTAGAAAGGCACTCAAGAGCTTGTAGTTCTTCAACTGTTGTGTAATATTTGAGTCGAAGGCTGTTATTTACTTAGAATCCCTGTGTTAATTTAAGTTTTGACAAGCTGGCTTACACTGGCAATGATAGTTGCTGTGGTTGGCTGGAATACCAAGTGCTGCATTTCACATCTATGCAAAACTAGTCAAAAGTGCCCTCGTGTCAATTCAGCTGTAGCTGATACATCATGGAAACCTTTCCTAAGGTATTACGTAGCCTTATTACTCTTCCTTAGTGTTAATTTTTATTTTTTTTTAATTTTTTTTTTCCTGCCAGATGTCCCAATTTCTACAGTTTCTTTTAGAAATAACACATTTTATTTATATTTATTGAATTTGAGTTTTTTGTATATTGGTTTTATGGTGACGTACAACTAGTTCTGTATTTGAAAGTGCCTTTGCAGCTCAGAACCACAGCAACTATCAAAAAATAAGTTTATTATTTATTTTTTTATTGTATTTTTGTTGGGGGCGGGTGGGGGGAAACTTGTCAGCAGTTGCTGGTAAATGAAGAATTTAAAGAGGAAAATGTGTCAAAAATAGAAGTTTGTATAGATATGTAAATAATTCTTTTTTATTAATCACTGTGTATATTTGATTTATTAACTTAATAATCAAGAGCCTTAAAATATCATTCCTTTTTATTTATATGTATGTGTTTAGAGTTGAAGGTTTTTGATAGCATTGTAAGCTTGTGGCTTCTCTATTTTGAATTTATTTTCTTGTTACATGTTGCCTATATGCCAAAACTAAGGTGTTCTAAAATAGTTTATTTTTAATAGGATGGGCTTTCATGCCTTGATGCTGGTTTTTGTACAATGTCAAACGTTTGAAACACCTTCCATAGTATCACTTTAAGACTATTTGTAAAGTACTGACTGAGGCAGTTTAGAGAAAAATTAGACTAGAAATTTTTTTTTTGCTGCTTTAGACTTGAAAAAAAAAAACAAAAACGAGTGACAGGCAGATAATCTGCTAAGAAGCAGTTTAAGGGAACAAAACAGAGCTATTACTTTATGTAGATGAAATGTGAGTGGTTGCATGTAATTAAAATATCAAATTAGCGTGTGAAGTTGGAAACACAGCAATCTTATTTTGTAAATTCTGATTTATTTTTTTTTTCTCACCATGAATATGTAATACTGAACCACTTGTAGATTTGACTTTTTTTTTGTAATCTACTGCATTTAGGGAGTATTCTAATAAGCTAGTTGTTGAATACTTGAACAGTAGAATGTCCAGTAAGATCACTGTGTAGGTTTGCCATAGATTACACTGCCCGCCTTAACAAGTGAGGAAATCAAAGTGCTATTACAACGTTTAAGATCAAAAAGGCTTATAAACATACTCATCTCGGTGGTTAACCATCGAGATCACGAAGATACCTTGTATTGTGATATTAGTGTTCTATGAAAATGCATCTTTGATGTGTTGTTCCTGGCAATAAATCTTGAAAAGTAATATTTATTAAATTTTTTGTATGAAAACAGAAAAGAGCGTGGAGATTTTTGAGCAAGTTGTATCAAACCAGTGGCAGGTACCGGTTTACGTTTCTAAGACCTGCCACTGATTTCGATGGAGTCAGTTTTTGTTAGATGATGACATGTTCCCCTCTGGTTCCGGATCAGATGGAAGGGGTTTGAAAGCAGCACGTCCCTCGTTCTCGGGGTTTTTGGCTAACGCACCTCTGTCTACTTCTAAGAGGAGGATGATACGACTGGAATTGTGCAACGAGTTTACTCTGTGTGGGCCAAGGAGCTCCCACCAGATAGTAACCAAATCTAAGTAGTTAGGCAAGATACAAACTGCTGACCTGGATGGGAAAGGATCCACAGATTAGACTGATTTCTAATGGGCAAAAAAGTGCTTTGTAAAGCATAAAATAAACTCTTAAAATATGCAGGAATGGCTTTTAATGCTTAAATAATGCAGAGGGGCTGTGTGTGGAAGTAGGGGTTAGCTGTCTGATCAGCTGCTCTTATTTTAGCACCTTTCCCTGATGAAGCTGCAACTTTGTTTTGGTACAAATCTGAAGGAACAATTAATTGTGTGTAACAAACTTAATTGAAAAATAATTATAAAACGGGGTCAGGCTGTTGCTTGTACTTCAGCTTAAACCATCCCACTGCAAGGTTAGGCCTCTGCATCCATATTTTGTTTGTAGTAAATACAGATACTTTATATAAAGATTGCTGCGATATGAATACAATGAACACAAAGTCTGATAGCAAGACGTACTCTGTTCTGTACCTTCATTACAGCTGTCTGAAAAAAAAAATTGATAAAATCTATTTAGTGTTACTTTTTATTTCATACGCACTTTTAAAGGAGATTTTTAGCTTGTCACTACCCTGCTGTGAAAAAGGGGCTGCTCTTACTCTTCACATTCAGCTGCCACATAACTTAGGTACCAGAGAAGCATCAGTTTACTGCCTGCTAAATGGGAAGTCAACAAGATCAGCTTCATCTGACCACTTCAGTAATTCCTCATCAAACAAATCCCATGCACATTTATTTCCCTTTGTTCCCTCTCACTTCTACCATCTGCAATAAAGCCACCACATCATGTCTAAAAAAAAAAAAAGCCACTTAAAGATAATTGAATCTTCCACCTGCCTCCAAAGCACAAAGTCAGGCTGTGAACAGAATGCTTTTACTTACTTTTAACATTGCATTAACCTCCTGTTTACACAGGTCTCGCAGTCAATGATGCAGAAACCAACAACCCCTCCTAAATGACTGAAGCATTTAAACCTGAATTTGTAGGAATAAATCTGAGTCTGCCTTCTATTAAGAAAAAGCAAAGGAAAAAAAAAAAAACAAACCACAGGGCTTTTGCTAGTCCTGGGAGTGTGTATTTTACAGATTTGTATTTTCCAAACCTACTGAGGCAAATTCTAATTACAGACTTTAATATAGTGACAAAGCTGTTTACGTCTCTGAAGACTCTGTGTAGAACAGCATCTGGGTTCTTCCAGCTTCAAAACTTGTCAAAGCCTTCGGCACCGTATTCATTTCTTTCTTGCCAGCCTTTCCTGTGCTACAAAGTACTGTACTGACCATGCAGAGCTTTTGTTACTGCAGAGTTTTTCCATACACCACCTCTTTTTCCCTCTATAACTTAACTTCATCACTACCTCCTAGTACTCTAACATTAAAGCTGCACAAGTCGTACAGGGGGAGGGATGAGAATTCTGTGAAATTGCTAAAACGATATTTTTAAATTATATCCTCGTATCTCAGTGGTAGCTTCAAAATTTACACAGGTGAATTTAAAACAAAACCAATCTTCCAAAACCCAGAACCACCACCAAGCTGGGGGCTGCTATATGGAGTGGTTTCCATTGTCACAAAAATAAACAGAAACATGAAATGTGAGGCTTCCCCGTTACAATACCAAGGTGCATTTATTTTTGTGGAAATTCTACTTTGCCAGTTCACAGTTTACTTCTCTGGGAAGATCCATTCTGTTTAGTCGGGAGAAGTTTCCCTGCTTGCTAGTGTGTGTCTGCTTTTTTGATCTTTATTCACTGAAGAACTGGAAAATGTGTGTTTCCTGAGCTGCCATTTAAACATAGCAGCTTTTTTTAAAAAAATAATAATAATAATTTTTAAAAAATGACTCCCCTTAGCACCCTCAGCTTTGCTATACCTACAGCTAACTGAACCTGGTTCAACTCGAGCTGAACGTAGCCACATCAAAGCCTTTGCACCTCCACATGGAAAGGGCCCATCTTACGTAGAGACAGCGAGGGAAAAGGTGCTGATCCTGCACCTTCCATCAGCCTGAACAGCAACACCTTCGCGAGCCTTGGGAACAGCTATTCCTGCATCGTTAACAGGAGCACAGCTAGTGCTTGTACACCTGAAGCAAGTGAGTAAGATAAACCAGGCCTAAAGAAGAGACTAGCATCTTCAAGTAATTTCGCTGACGAAGCTCCTTTTCTTTCCACAGAAACACCATTTGTTCTTACACCAGCTGACACACCTGCACGGCAAGAGTTAATATTATTCATCAGCTCTCTGCCAAGCCAGACAAGGTTACACTCTCCATTGCTCCTTGAAGATTGCACCATTCAGCTTCTTACCCGCCAGCCCCCAGCGTGGCTGCTCCAGCCATCCGGCTGAAGCTGGCCTTGCCTCCTCAGCTCTCCAGGCTCCCACATCCCTACCCCTGCCATTTGCAGAGCCCCTCTGCAACAAAGCACAGGGCAGAGGCTTAATGTTCTGATTAGCGTATGCAAAGATGAGAAGTTCTGACAGGGGAAGTACCAAATTCAGTCTTTTCCTCTCCAGAAGATGGAAGTGATTGCATAAGCTCCCCCTCCCCTTCTAAAGAGAGCAAGAATATTTACTTAAGAATCTTTCAACTTCCTCTTTTTCAGTGTTGACACCAGTGGCCAGCACGATCACTGCTTATCAGTGCACATGGAGTTTGCTTTTAAAGTAGCTTGTTCTCAAGAGAGAAAAAAACCTGTAAAATAGCTGTGCAGTGATTAATTCCAATTTCTAGCAGTGAGGAGGAGGAAAGGGTGAAGGTTCTGGACAGTCTGTTGGCCAGCAGACAGAGGTTCAGCAGACAGCTCACCTAGCACTGGGGCAGCGCTGCCTCAATGTGGTATCAGATGGGGCGTCAGACCAGAGTTCCAGCCCAGATCTTCCAGTGAGCACCTTCTCTGTGATGTGCAAATTATTTCAACCAGTTTCTCTACAGGGTGGAGAAAGAAATCTCTGTTCTTTCCAGTCTAGCACTATGAGATCATATTAATATTAAAAGGGGGCATGCTCATCTCTAGAATTATAGCTCAAGACACTTTTCTTTAAAGATCTGATGCATAAATCAAAAAGACAATTATTCTGGCAGCAAATAAAGCAGTTGTTAGTTACAGAACTAGACTGTAGTTCCAGTCCAATTCCTACTACTGAGGTACTATGTCTCACTTACACTAAAGGATCTAACTTTGATGGAATGGGAGCAAATCAGTGAAATTCTCATTCCAAAAAGGTGCCTTGTCAGCTCTCCCAGGAACCAGTTCCCAGCTCTGGAATAATTGAAAGGGACAGTAAAGGAGGTAGGAGGGTGGATGTTAATTCCCTGGACAATTTCCAAGTTACAGCTGAAATGCCCTGTGACACTACAACATTTTCATAACTCTCTTATGATTTCTCAAGCATAAGCCAACATCAACCAACCAGTCCCCATCTAAAAATGTCACCTTATTGCCACCGTGGAAAGGACAAGGTTCCATTTGAATTAAAATAACTCAAAATAAAATAAAACAAATTAAAGGTAGATAAGATGGGAGAACTGTGTCCAGAAATACTTGAACGAGATGATACAAGAATTTGCAGTCCAAGTTCCTTAACCAGCTTGCTTTACCTTGAAGAAATTGCTTACCCTCAGCGCTGCCCCAATTATCAAAATACGCATATTCATATCCCTCCCAGGTTCAGCTGCAGAACGCTTTGATATCCCTTTGAAGAAAGGTGAAGATAGGCTCCGTGTGCTGCTATTCCCCCATCCCACATCTCTTCATTCACATGGGGTTTTGGATGCTAGTTAATGCTTATTAGAAAAGAAAAAAAAAAAAAGCAGAAGGCACAGAAGTGAGGAGTGCCTTTTATTAAAGCTAATTTCTGAGGCCAACCCACGCTTCCCACTGCTGGCTGGAAGACTCTTGATACTATTAACTCTGCTCAAGCCTGCGCTAGAATGTTTTAATAGAGGCAAGGAGATAACTGCTCATACCGTGCCATCTGGGATAGCCTAACAACATTTTACAGCTTTCTTATGCCAATTGCAAACAAAAAAATATTTCCTCCATCTTTTTTCCTTAAAAATAATCCATTTTTCAGTCAAAAGCCAATGAGATATGATATAAAATGTCAAAACTCATCCAATGTGACTCACATGCAGAGTGGCAGGAGGGAAGGAAGTTCACAATGACAAAATAAACGCCTTCAGAAGGCTACTTCACACCTCACTCCATCCAAACTTTCTGTAGCAAGGAAAGTTTTGCTTCTCAAAATGTTCCTTTTTTTTGTTAGAAACACGTGCTCTTGAAATTATTCAAGTCAAACATAAGACAGAAATGCAACTGTAGTAAGACACTAATACACACTCTAGACCCTGGTATGCAGAACTACAACCCAACAGATAATATCAGACCTAGCACAAAGCTTATTACTCAAAATAACTCTTGCGACAGTTAAAACCTTCCTACTGATCCAAACTGGGCAAGGGAGATTTCACATCAGCCTGCTTCCTCTTTATAAATAAATACGTAAAAGGCTGGTCTAGCTTTTGATGGGTGTTTAAACACAAAAGTTCACTAAACAAATATTTTTAACTACTTTGATGTCAAGAATAATGGAAACGATTGTCTGCACACATGAGAAAGTGTTTGGCTAGGAAAGGACTATTTCACTATCAGCAAACAGCACAGACCAAATTAACCAGCTGATTCATTAAAAAAACCCCACAACAACCCAAAGCTGTCTGGTTTGGAATAGACAGTTATTTCTCTTTAAGACAAATACGTGTTTTTCAATGTAAGCTCTGCATTGTGGGCTTTAGCCAGCCTCAGATCTACACATATTTCAGAGGAGTTCAAAGCAACTCTGAAAATGAAAAAAAAAAAAACCCCAACGTAACCAACAAACACAAAAGAAAAAAATGAACCAAAAGAAATTGCTTCTGTGCTTCAATAGCAGTTTCAGAAGAGAACAGAGCCTTACATATTTATTACTTTTCACAGAAAGGTATGCTAATGCTGCTCAGAAGCAAATTGGTAATAAAAGGAACAGAAAGCCACAGGCAAGGCTTGCAAACTGCTAATTTTACTCTAGCTCAGTTTCCAGCTACCTTCCCCCCCCACCCCCCTCCCCTAAACCTGATTTAGGAAATCAGGTTTGTGGTTCAAGAGCATATCAGACCACACCTCTGCCAGTCACCTGGGTGCAGGTGGATTGTTGATAAAGAAAAACACAAAGACTGAGAAGACAACCTTGGCCTTAAAGTACAGAGATAAAAGAGACATGTGGCAGCAACACAGCCTGGATATCACAGCATCACCTAAGGCACCCATAGGGTTTGCAAAAGGGGAAACTTTTATAATAGTCGTGCTGCACAGACAAAATAATGACGTTTTGAGCTGTGACACCATCTAAAATCCAGAAATGACCATGAATTCACAGCTTTTTCCCTGAGTAACTGCACTTCTGTGAGGATCCAAGAGGCAACTTTTTCAAGTAACTAATCTCTAAAGACACAGCTCCAAAGAGCCCAGGAACCTCACAAGTCAGGAGCTACAGTAAGAATGATGCAACTATGCACTTTTGAGAAAGCCCATGTCTATTTGTTCTGACCCTCTAGGCTCTAACGCCTTTCATCACTCTAGCCCTACATTTCTGATCATTGCACGATCACTGTTGTGAAAGGAGGATGTTCCCATGTTACCAGTGAGGTGATGGAAAACAGCATTTTAAGTCACATAATTAAATAACCTAAAGGAAAAAAAAAATCAAGTGCACAGACAATGGTTTCATCTACCCAAGACCCCCTATAAATGTGTGACATCCATTTGTAAGGCTGCGTGCAGGTATGCTATTCAGGCAAAATTAAAACTAAATTGTCATTACAAGGTTGAACTATGTGTAAGAACAGTATGTGATGATACAAACGATAGGTGGTTGCCCTCTGGTTTCTAATACTTCAGTTAAATGGATGAGGAGAGGAGAGAGGCAAGAAGAAAGGAAGCTGCAAAAGCCCAAACTCTTAGCAGTAACAGTTTAGTGTGTACTTGCTCAAAACCATCCACTATTTTCAGATATAATCAGCGTGTTTGCCAGTTTGCAAAAGTGAGCAGAAGGCCTTTGCCTAACCAGAATGAAATGAAACTGAAGTGATTTTACAAACCCAACATGTGTCTGTAGCTGCATAATCTTCTAAACCTGTCCTGTTACAACCAAGATCATCATCACAAAGATCCAAGGAAAAGCAAAGTGGAAATAATGGACATTTCAAACTGCAGTCTAGAATATATGCTTGTACCAGTTTTTTATCACTTTATTCACTGTAAGAACTTCAAGAAGCCAAACAGCAAATCTACACTAAGGCTTTGATAACTATTAAAAATAGTCTATTTTAATTACACTTATTTTTCTGATAAAGACTTAATTTAAAACCCTTATACCTCTTTTAAGTCCATCAAAAAGGTGTTTTTTACTCCCTTCCTGTCCCAGTATCTCGAGTCCATACAAAAGACAGCAGTAAACATACCTCAGGCTATTCTTCCTCGGAACCCAGGTTCATTTGCAGCCTCAGTTTTGCTGTTACTAGGAAAAGCTTTCTTTGCAGAGCCCAAAGACTGGTAAGCATTAGCAGCCTTACTGCAAAGCACTGTGAGAAACATCACACAAACAGGCTGAAAGAAAAAATTCCAGCAGGCATGCAGAATCTTTTCCATTTATAGCAAAAGCAGAAATTATTTCTAGCAGAAAGATGCTTTTCAGTTGACAGTGTCTTGCTGTCAACTGCTGAGCTGCTAAATCTGCTAAGGACCTGTATTACACCACCAGTTTATGGATGTGAGTCTTCTTCTTCACCTAAATGAGGATATCCACAGTTGTAAGTACACATCAGTAAGATTTTTCAGAATTGCTTCACATAAAATGTCTGTGGTCAAAGTGATTTTAAGAGAATGATGAAAGAAAATTGTTTATCATTTTATTTTAAACATTCTTAAAAGATAATAATTAAATAAAAAGTTACATTTCCTTAGCTTATTAGTGGATAAGTTACAAAAGCAGTATGAAAAAGCACTGTAATAATAAAAATATATACTAAAAATTACCTCTCTCTTAAAATGACAACTCTGGTATCGCTAACACATGAGAAACAGTGTGTTGTCCTTGCTCCCAAACAAGGCCTGATTTTGAAACATGAATGCATCGAGATGTGTATGCATGTTTCTGTAGGATCTCTTCCCAACAGCAATGTTTGCACATGCAGGTGACTACATCTCTAAAAGCAATCTTCATTTTTCCAAAGACCGAATGCACGATCACTTGTATCCATAACTCGGGTTAGAAATGCATGTTCATACCAAAACTGCACAACCAGAAACTACAGTTATTTTGAAACCCCACTGAAAAGGTGGGCATTAAATTATCAGCAACATTAAATCCTGGTTAAAGATTTATTTGAAATAACCTCAATTCGCTTTGCTGTTGTAAAGATCATGTGACTAAACCATGCACTTCCTAACACAGAGAAAGGATTATTTTTTACTAAAATAAACTGTGTGTTCATAAACAACCAAAATACTGAATAACTGTAGCTGCTAAGAGATCATGAAAGTAGCTTTAACTTTTGCTGTCATCAGCTGATAATGAATTTTTAATAGTACTACAACATATATAGATCTAAAATTTTGCTTAGTAAATATTATCTAATAGGAGTTTTTTTTTTTCTATAAATACTACACTGGTTCATAGAATATTAATGTCTAATTCCTAAAGACTTAACAGAATTATTTCATTACTGTTCCAAATGACTAAGATACTTAGTTAATTAAATTTTCTTAAAAGGTTTAATCTAATTTTGACTTTGTATTTTTATTACTTTTCATTATTTTGAATTGATTCCTACTTTTCCCATATGCTTTCCCAACACAAATTTGGCTGTCCACTCATGCCATCAAGGTAATATTTCAGACTTTATGATTTCTTAAGCTTTCGCAGTTTTAACTTCTTGAGACCATTTTCAACTTCTTTTTTTCTTTTTTGGGTAAGCCTCTCTGAAGACACAGGCTGCAGTTCTAAACAAGATGACGGCATCGCAGGCAATTCTTCAGCGGTTGCGCTTGGCTCATTTTGCCTTGTCTGCACGATATTGTTCCTCACAGAAAGAGGCTGGGAGAGGTTTTTTCTTAAAGTCAGGGACTCCTCATCAGATGTACTCTTTGTTATGTCTTGTTTAGAAAACAACCTGGAATTAAGCAGGGTCTTCTCCTCCAAGAATGGACCTAAACAATCATCATCACACTTATTCATTTTTGTATTGCCAGGAATTAAAGGAGACCCTTCAGAGGATACTTTTTTGAAATGCTCTAACTTTTCTCCTGAACCACAGCTCCTCTGGTGAGTCTGTGTTTTGGTCACTTTTTGATTCTGTTTTGGACCTATCAGTGCTGACTCGGAGCAACAAGGAAGGTTCTCACTTAGAAGACTTGACTTCAACCACTCCAGAGAGTGAGGTTTTTGCTGGCTGCTAACATCATCTGCCTGTCCATGATTAACATAATTTTCCAGCTCCAAAACAGGAAGCTCCAAGTTGCTCTCAGCTGTATTTCTGCAGTCCTTTAGCAGTCCTGTACTCCTACATTTCACTTCAGATGGAGGACTGAGAGTTTGACACTCATTCTTTCTGTTCTCTGTCTGTGAGTCCACTGAGCCAAAACACTCTCTCTTGGAGTCCTTTTTAACTTGAGGTTTGATCATGTTCCTTTTCCTTGTTTTTGTCCTTTTCACACTGCAATAAAAGGGAATTTTATTTTCAAATTAAAAAAGAATATTCACTGCCTCAGTCTGCCCTTCTTAAAACTCTGAAACACCACTAGGGCAACTCTCCTTCTGAATGTGGAAAAAACCCCTTGTATATCATTTTGACAAGCAGCAATGTTTGTCTAGTGTGGATAATATCAAGTGTTATCCATCTGATTTTCCACTGCACTAGGGGAACCCTATTTATTAATGACTAAGCCATGAAGGACTTCACATTTTATTCCAAGAGGCAGAACTGGATTCATTTACAGATGTTAAAGGTCAACACCGCATAAGAAAATTGAATTCCTTCCCAAACTGGTTAGATAAAATAGTATTTCATAAATGCCTAAATGATTTCAAACCATTCCCATCTATTCACATGCATAATATATATCTAAAGAAGAGAGGGGGGCAGGCGGGGAGAAGCAGCATGCATGTCTCTGTGTGAGAGTTTTTAATCTCTATTTTAGAATGTTCCTCTGGAATTTTTCCCAGGACATTTCAAAGCACTACTTTAAAGTTAACCACTGCTCATCTAGTATCAAACCCGTTCATCTGGCAAGGACTTAGGTAATGCAAGTAGATGATATTCTAGAAGGAATTATACAGGAAAATGGGATCACAAGGGACCTGATGGAGTGTCACTACATAAACACTCCTCAGCAGCATGTTACCTACAAACCTAGATTTCACGTAAAATGAACTTTATGCACAAGTACTGAAGCTGCCTATGTAAGATTTTGAGTCTAAAGATATTCCTATAGATTGTCCCATGCTGAGACCACTTTCTGCTGCTCTGCTGATGCTGAGCCCTTCCCAGGTTGGCATATCCAACTCCAGGAAGAAGGCTCTTCCAAAATAGGTAGAGCTGGCATACCTCCAAATCTAATCTCAGTTCTAAAGACAACACAGATGAGACAACATGGGTAAAAGGAAAAGTTACCAGGGTTCACAGCAAATCCCTGATTCCACAGTTGATTTGGATTTACCGGCAGCTTGCGCAAGTAAGAATGGCATCCTAGTGCAGCAGAGGGCCGGGAAAATGTCCAGCTGATCAGCTACCCCTCCCCATCCACTACACCAGGGACACTCTTTAATTGTGACTAAAGATCCAGGCTAATATCGTGGTACACTGCAGATGCTCAAAAAAACCCAAAAAATTATATTTGCAAAGTGTTTTCCACCAGATGCAAACATCACATATTTATTTTGGCTCAGAGCTACATTCAAGGAAAAAACACCCTGTTTTGATACTGCCTAGTGCTATGTGAGATATCTATGTGGGTTGTAATAGCTTTTTTCATGCTGTACAAAACAACAACGATCATTTTAAGTGCTTATGCACACTAAAATAGTAGTCTCTTAGTAATTAAAAATAATCTTTTGTAAAAGAGTTTATATTATTTGAAATGATATTCTATTTACCCAAATTTTGCCAGATTATAAATTTAGCACCTTAGAAGGAATAGTGACATACATTTCTTTCAAGATGTCTTGCTTTATTTGTTCATTTGGACTAATCTTAAGCTTCTTGTTCTCAGCAGATTCAGTAAAATATTCAGACGTCCCATTGGAAAGTTCTTCTTTCTGCTCCAAAAGAAAATACAGGTTTAAAACATGACACATCAAGCTATGATTATTCAACAGAAAACTCCATTTCCAATACTAAAACTCACAGATGTTTTTTATTATTTTGATCTGAGCAGTCTAAGAGAAACAGAATTATTTTTAATCTTTTAATATTTGGGAGTCTAGTCAGTTCCCTCCCCTTTCAGACTCCCAATGAACATACTTCATATGCTAAAATATACCGCAAACAAACAAGACTGCAATGTAAAGGATGTAGCTTTCCAAACCGTCTGAGGAAACTGTTGGCAAATATTTGACATCTTTGTGGCTCAAACTGTGACAAATGCCAGGAATCTCTCTTGCAGACAGGAGCGTGTTTGTCAGGTTTTTTTTCCTGAAGAGACTGACTGGCGCAGTGGTCTATACACTTATTCTCAGAAGAATTCCCATCGTTTTCCATACTTACAAAAAAATATAGTGTTATTTGCTCATTTAAGGAGGCAAGGGTTAAAACTTTTAATACTAACATTCAAGTGCTCACAGCTTGTCGTGGTTGGCTACTACAGGACAACAGGGGAATTCTTTCTGGTCTCAGCTAACAGCAGCACTATGGTTTTATATAATCCGAGATTGGGGCGAGAGGGAGGGAAGGAAAATGCTCTTTTTCTTCAAGCTGTGAGCATTTCCTTTCACAATGAAACTATCTCAATGAGAGAAGGGCCATTTGCTGACTTCACTATTAACTGCCACAGACTTCAAAAAAGTATTCTCTCTGAGGCTGCGGAGAGGAGAGAAAAATACGAGGCAAACTCAAGAAGAGGCGAGGCTTTGTGCATCTCCTTTTCTTTGATAGCATTTTTCTTCATCAGCCTGCATGAGGCAACTTCTGATTGGGGCTCATCAAATGTAGAGAGTGCTTAATTAGACCATTTCTTGCTCCACACTGTGAAGCTTGCACACTGGAGCTAGGCAGTACGGAAGAACTGAACAAAAGTAGAGAAAGATTGCAGAGGTGCAAGGCCAAAGCGTGTACATGACCGCTGCCTGGAACTCTCCTCAGGAACCTGTCACTTATAAAGGACTAAGCCCTGCCCATTTTTATTTTTATTTCTGTTTTAAAGGAGAGGGGAGTAAACCTCACTGCTCTTTCCAGAAGAATAAGCCAGTGAAAACAACTTCCTGTTTTGTAAGCAGAAAGAGGGTAGTCAGGCAAAGGAAGCAAGCCATTTCAACAGTTTTTTTTTAAAAAAACAACCTATAGCTGTTTTGAGCTTTCCTTTCAGAGGCAAACGACACCAACGTGTTTCTGCATATTGCTAAACACATGCGGTTCTGTCCAGTAATGGTACAACATGGGTGTTTACAGCAGGCAGAAAACACATGGGACATACACGCATGTGATTTCAACCTCAGAAACCAAGCCTAACTAGTTTGATCTGAGGGATTAATTGTTGCTTCTATTCTTCTCAGAGGCATGAACTCCCCTAATTCGACTAAATAAGTGTTCATATTTTGCAAACTATTAAAGAAGTGCTCATATTATTACGATACTCAAAAGCTTTGCTAATTTTAAGATAAGACACAGACTCTTAACTGTCAAGTCTGTAGAAATGATTCTGATTTCCAGTAACATTCACACAACTCAGACTGAAGGGTCTTGCACAATCATTCTGCATCAAAGCAGCTGGAGAA